TAACATCCACATGCTTTTGTAGTCAATATTCTTTAAATTTCCTATTTATCCTATTTTTATGTACAGAAATTAAGAATTTCTTTTTATGTTTTAATTTATACCAGCAACCTTGCTAAAGTCAATAATTAAAATCTAATTTGTCTGTGAAATAAAAACAAAGAGAAATTAGCAACTAGGAAACTTGGGAGGATAGTCAAGAGGTTATGTTTATTTTCCCTTCGAGTCCTGGGCTGTGAATTTGATCCTCAGCTGAGTTGTTTATATCAAATCCCTTTTATTGCATGAAGCCAGTTAGTGAATAAGATTCAAATGTGCCCATCGAGTAGGTTTTGAATGTCTTCCTTCTTCCTCTAGGACTTCAAGGTGGCAGGATGTTCTTTAATGCTGTGAAGGAAGGAGACACTGTGCTCTTTGCAAGTGACGATGAGCAGGATAGAATATTATGGGTTCAAGCCATGTATCGGGCCACGGGTCAGTCGTACAAGCCAATTCCTGCCATTCAGACCCAGAAGCAGAACTCCAAAGGAGGAACGACCCAGACAGATGTTCAGCTTTGTAAGTGTGGTTAAAAAATCATTTTCATATGAATTGTTGTTATTGTTTGTTAAAGACTATTGAGTTGTAGGCAACTCATAGAGACCCTTTGAAAGACCTGAACACTTGTATAACTTACTTCATTTCTCCAAGGTCATATGGTTTCTGGAGGCAAGCTATTTCAGAAGTGAATGCCACTCCTGTTTCCAAGCTTGTTTTAATCGGGGAGCTCCACCAAACACTGTCTATCATGGGTAACCAGTTTCGCATTTGGCAAATCAATATCACAGTGTTCAGCATCACAGCAACCACGAGTTACCTCTGTACAACAAGTGGACAGGCCAGGTTATACCACCTAGAAAAACGTTCGACCAAAAACAATTAAAATCAGGCCTGAGGGACGAAGACTAAAATCATCCACCTTTGGCTTGGTAACATCACTTTCTTTCCATTAGGCCAACTGAGCTCTCCCTGTGTTGTTGTTGTTAAGTGCTGTAGAGTCGTAGATGACTTACAGTGACCCTCTGGATGAAAAGACCTTAATAAGATAAAAATTATTTAAGACAATTTGTTTAGTATTATAGTTTATATCATTAACTAATTCACAATTGAATAAAAATAGTACATCTTTATAGCAATAATATCATTTATCTGGGTTTTTTCCACACAAATCTGGAATGAATCCTACATGTAGTTTCAAATCATCATTGAGTTTGCCTTCGATATCTCTGGCAATCTCAAGAGGGTGCAAGAAAATTCTCCAAATGTCTCAAAAGAAAATTTATTTTACCTGTATCCCATAGAAATTAAGGTGGAAATGTTGACAAAGAAAATTAGCTTTGGTAGAATCCTAGAATATGAAATTAATGAACCAATGCATTCTAAAGTTGTTCTTAACAATCCAGAAGGTAATAAAGTCATTGTGTGTTGTTGAATACATTAGATAACCAGCTTTCTTTTCCAAAATGTCTTCATATTCATGTCATTTTCTCTTTGCTGAGAGAAGTCATTAAGAATAATGTTTTTCATTTTCTTTTATTAGCAATTAATAACAGAATTATGAAGTAATAATGAAACATTTTCAAATACAGCTTTAATAATCATTAAATCAATTATACTAATGTTACATTTCTTTGCAAAACTCTTCAGGTTCCTCCTATGATAAATTAGTTTGTCTTTAACTTTATTCTCAAATTGAAGCTTTTCATTCAACATCCTTTACTCACAAAAATTCTTCTGGAGAGTAACATCTTGACATGCATTATTTTCTTCTCCTGCTTCCAAGTGTTAAATAGCCAGCCAACCTTTTATTTTTAGACCCTTCCATATGACATCTCTGCTTCTTAAGCAAAGGTGCATTAGGCAAAATAGTTAAAGGAAGAATATGAGCTCGTTTTTTCCCTCAGTTTTTTGAGAAATAACAGATAATATGCAGATTCTCTTTAGAACCACCTGGTTGAGGGTCTTCCACTCTTTGCCCATTCCTCCACTTTCCCAAATATGATGTCCCTCTCCAATGGATAACCTGTCCTATCAACATGCCCCAAGTATATGAAACAAAGCTTCAACATCTTTGCCTCTAAGGAGCACTTTTATTTCACCTTCTCCAAAACATATCAGTTTGTTCTTTTGGCAGTCCATGGGATACTCGGCACCATTCTCCAACACAATTTCAAAGGGATCAATTCTTCTGTCATTGATAGTTGTTATCTAGCCCTCACATGCATAGCAAGTGACTTAAAAGACTATGACCTGGATCAGGCACATCGTAGTCCTCAAAGTGACACGATTGCTCCTCAGTAATTGGTCGAGATGCTGAGTATAGCTTTTCCCACTGCAGTACATCTCCTGAGCTTCTGACTGCTGGTACCAAGTGTATTGGTAAGTAAGTAGGATGAATTAGTTGACAGTTTCAAACTTTTCTCCACGTGTCATAATACTGCCTATCAGTCCAGTAGCTGGGATTTTTGTTTTCTTGACGCTGAGATGCTATTTTTTTGTGCTTCCTTTGCTCTCTATCATGTGTTCTTTCATTCAATGACTTAAAATATTTTGCCTATTTTGAATAGAGTTAGTAATAATAACCTTTGAGAGGTATTTTTATACAGTCTTGATATGTTTTGTGTCAGATCTATAACTTACAAATATTTTTCCCTTGTTTGTAGATAATCTCTTCATCACCCAGTAGTCTTTCAAATTCAGAAATCCTTTAGTGAAGACTTATTTACCAGTTATTTTCTTTTTGGATCTGTGCCTCTGGGGTTTCATCTGGAAATACTTTGTTCAACTCCTGGTCACAGCTGTCTTCTAGGTTTTCTTCTAAACATTATACTTTTGGCATTTACATTACACATACTGCATATATTTTAAGCCCATTTTTGTTCGGTTTTGTTTTCGTTTATTGTACGCCAATGGTAATGTATAATATATGCCCATCCAGTTGTTTTTCATCGTGAATTAAAAAGACTGTACTCACTGGGTTGCCCTGTACCGAGCCAAAAGTCATTTGACTATAGTTGTAGGAGTTTATTTCCTGGCTCTTCCTTTTGGATCTTCCTTGGTCCATCTTCTTTTCTCCATCTATCTGGGCATCTCTACCTCCTTGTCTGGGTCCCTGGAGCTGGATAAGCCTTTCTTAGTCATGTGGTACAAAATCCTCCCAAATAGATCCTCCTTCAAAAACATGCTTTGCTTTTTGTGTGTCTTTTGTATTTCCATGTGAAATTTAGAATCATTTTGCCATCTTCTGAGGAGATTCTCATTGCATTTACATTAGATTTAAAAATTATTTTCCCAGAACTTGATAATACAAAGTGTTGCGTTTTCAAGGCTTCCAACCCAAGAATATGGTATCTGTTTATTTGCTTTTCATTTTTATTTGGAGTATTTGTGGTTTGCAGTATATTATACTGGTTTTCAATGGTCTTACACACTTGTCATAGTTACCCCTAGATATTTCATATTTTCATGCTATTATAAGTGATTTTTTAAAATTTCTCATAGATTGTTTTGATCTTTGATAAGCTTATGGATCTCATCTGTTTTATATGTACTGACTAGAGAATAGTTGATAAATACTAGCGTAGAGCATTATAAATCAGAGCTGGACATTTTGGAATTAATAAAAGATCTAAATAGGCAATTGACTACAGTAACTATATAGTCCATTTATAGTAAAGCTTTTCTTCTATCTGATGCTCTTTGGAGGCAAAGATGACAAAGCTTTGTCTCATGTACTTTGGACATGTTGTGAAGAGGGGCTCTTCTTTGGAGAGGAACATCATGCTTAGAAAGGTGAAGGATCTCAAAAGAGAAGACTCTCAACAAGATGGATTAACGCAGTGACTGATGACAGCAGTGGGCTTACGTACGTCAGCAATGAGAGGATGGCACTGGGGAGGATTGACTTCAAATCTGCTTTCCTTAGGGTTGCTGTAAGTTGTGTTCAACAGAATCTAACAACCACCACCATCATTTTATATCAATATATTTTCAAGGTATGGCTAATCATACCAAGTGGAATCAAAACTTCTAGCCAGTTCATAGGGATTTGTACCTCTAGCCCAGTGCTGGCATCTCTCTGGAGGCTGCAGTCCACCAGGTGGTCTGCAGCTGAAAGGTGAGCAGTCTCCTGCCAGGCAATTTATGGCCCAAAAAAACACAGCTGAGAGTTGATGGCAATGCGGTTAGAGATGAGTCCTAAAAACTAAACTTAAATAGTTGTGTTAGCAACACCTTTCTTGTATTTTAGCCTCTTGGTAGCATTTCCAATCAGAGTAGGCCCCTGGTGTTTTATCTCTCTTATGAAAGGAAAAACAAAAGACAAGAAGGAAAAATACCAGAGAGACAGAAAGGCTGGAAGAAGAAGCGAGTCTCTATTTCAAGATGGGAATATTAACCCTGCTGTTGAATTGTACCAGGTGGTAATTCTATCCTTAATATTTTTCTCTTGTATCTCATTGTATTTACTTCCCTGAGCATCTCTCTGAAAGCTAAGAAAAATAGAGAACTTCAATAAGACGGATTGACACAGTAACTACAGAAATTGGCTTAAGCTTCTGGCTTTCGGCTTGGAGGACACGTCGGCGCAACTTTCTTTCGTCGTCCCACATCTGGGTTCATCCAACACCAGCCGCCTCCACATGCCACCCAAGTTCAACCCCAATGAGATTAAAGTTGTGTACCTGAGGTGTACCGGTGGGGAAGCCGGTGCCACGTACCCTCTGGCCCCCAAGATCGGCCCTCTGAGTCTGTCTCTAAAAAAGATCAGTGATGACATTGCCATGGCCACCGGTGACTGACTGGAAGGGACTAAGGATTACAGTGAAAGTGACCATTTAGAACAGACAGGCCCAGAGTGAAGTGGTGCTTTCTGCCTCTACCCTGATCATCAAAGCCCTAAAGAAGCCACCCAGAGACAGAAAGAAACAGAAAAATATTAAACACAGTGGGGATATCACTTTTGATGAGATTGTTGGCATTGCCTGGCAGATGTGACATTGGTCTTTAGCCAGAGAACTTTCTGGAGCTATTAAAAGAAATCCTGGGAACTGCCCAATCTGTGGGCTGCAATGTTGGTGGCCGTCACCCTCATGACATCATAGAAGACATCACCAGTGGTGCTGTGGAATGCCCCGCTGGCTAAAAACTACACATGAAAATATTTCAATAAAGGATCATGTGTTAACCAAAAAAAAAAAAAAAGAAAAAGAAGCTTGTTAATGGCAGAGATCATGAGGACAGCTCAGGATAAGACAACGTTTCCATCTGTTGTTGTTGATGTAACTATGAGTCATAGTCAACTCAACAGAGGGTAGCAATAACATGAGAAATGAGCCAATAAAATGAATATGATTTGTTAGATAAAAAGTTGTGTTCCTAATTTGTTGACATAGATATTTTGCTTCTTACTTCTTAGCGGCCCCTGTAGCTGGTAAAAGTAAAGGTTCTTTCAAATGCATTTGGCTTCATTTTGTTTTGCTTGAATTTATTAACATGTTTGTAACACTGTGATCTTTAAAGAAATATCAGTGTTTTGAATATCCAAAATGCTTAGGTTAGCTTAGCATTGTTATTGTTGTTGTTGTTGTGTATCGTTAAGTCAGACCCAACCATAGCTGACCCTCCAGAAGATTTTCAGAGGCAGTTAATTGCATGGGAGGAGACTGTTCATCCTTCTCTCAGAGAAGTATGGCCTCGAACTGTGTGCCTTATTCTTTACAAAACCAAAATAGTGATTTCTAACAACAAAACAATTGAAGCATGGCTTCTCATGTCTTGATGGCAGTCACGTAAGGGAAGTTTTTGGGTTGTGTGTGATGTGTGCTATTTGTTTTTTTCACCCCAAAAGCAGGTGTCCGTTGAACTTTTGACCCATTAATTCAAATTATTCATTTTTTATTGAACATTCTTTAAGTGATACAGCAATTGTTTGTCTATTTGCTGTACTGAATAACTTGAAGGTGCTGTGATGCTAACCACTGTGCCATTGTCATGTCAAATACCATAATGGTTACCCATCATGTACAATGTTTGGAGGAGCTTCCAGATTGATTAAGGTTGGGAAGCAGGAGTGACATCCACTTCCTAAACTAGATGCCTCTGGAAACTCCATAAACTCTATAAATGTACAAAAATTATGTTAGTTATAGAACAGAGTTCAGGTCTTTTGTACAAGGGTCACTATGAGTTGCATTTGACTTGATGACACTTAACCACTGCTAAGTGAGACTAGTGTTGTTATAATTGGAGAAACATTCTTCCACTTTGTACATCACTCTTTGTCAGTGTGTTGTGTGAAGTAACCTGGGTATTTGTGATACTGAATCTTGTGCCACTGGGGTATCAAATACCATAATGATTTCTCAGTGTGAACAGTGTTTGGTGAAGCTCCCAGTTGTAAAACAAGTTTGGAAGCAGGAATGACATCCACTTCCTAAAGCACATGCCTCTGGAAACTCTATGAACTTGGAGAAACAACTTTAGTTATGGAAAGGCATTAGATCTTTTGTTCATGGAATCTGTATAAGTTGTACTCAACTCAACGGCAATCAACAACAACAACATCTTAGAGATATTGTGAATTCAATTTCATCCCACTGGAGTAAAGAAACAATCACTATAAAGCAATTTACACACTTTACTTCATTTCCAGGTAAGATAAAAGTTCTCTCTGTACTATCCTATAGTCTAGTAAATACACAGAAACATTACTAAGATGTTTTAAATACTGTGAAAATGACCAGAATGTGGTACAGAGATGCAAAGATATATTTTTTTGGGAAAAAGCACCAGTATGCTGATGGACATGTGCTTGCCACACGTACTCAATTTGTAAAGCACACAGTATTTGTGATATGCAGAAAAGCTAAACAGAGTAGACCCAAGATATGCCTGTAGGAGCAACTCCCAAACCAACCAGTGCCATTGAGTTGAGCTTGACTCCTAATGACCCTTCATCGTTTTCTGAGCCTCCATTGGAGAAGAGTACTGGGTTATCTCCTGGACTGCCGAAAGAACAACCAAGTCTGTCTTGGAGGCAGTGCAAACAGTGCTCCTTAGAGGACTTCATCTCACTCGCTTTGGACATGTTGTCAGAAAGGACCAGTCCTTAGAAATCAGCTCATGCTGGGATTGGTAGAGGATCCGCAAAGGAGAGGAAGAACCTCAACAAGAAGGCTTGTAACAGTGGACCCCAGCTTATCAGAGACTGAGAATGGAGCATGATTCAGATCTGTGGTTCACAGGGTTATTACGAGTCCTAGGTCACCTGATGGCAGCTGACGATAACAAATCCTAAGGGGAAGACACAGCTCATCTTTCTCCTGAGGAGTAACTGGTAGATTGGAACCACTGATCTTTTGATTAGCAGCTTAATCTTCTAGCTCTACACCACTACAACAATATGTAGAATTTCACCTAAAATGTTCACAGAGATTTTCATTTCATTGGAGGTGGTGGTTTTTGTTATGTGACCTCTTAGCGATCCTATATACAACAGCTCTGAAGCCCTCCCTGTCCTGAGCCCGTCTCACTAACTCTGACACACAAACCCCCTTTGCCCCAACTACCGTTTCAATCCATCTCATCTGGGGTCTTCCTCTCCTGTGCTGTCCCTTCACCCTTCCAAGCATGATGTCCTTCTCCAAGGACCAGTCCCTCCTGGCCATGTGCCCAAAGTATGTGGGAGATACTAATTATTATTTTAGGGAGCTCTGGTGGCCCCGTGAGTAAGGAGTTGCACTGCCAACCCAAAGGCATATGGTTTACATCCACCAGCTGCTCTGCAGGAGACAGATAGGCTTTCCCCTTCCTTGTGATTGGCAGCCTCTGAAAACCCACTGATTGGGCATTTAATTTCTTGATTTTCAAGTACGTGAAAATTTTCATACTTTATAAGGGAAACTTCAAGGTGACCTTGCCCAGTGACGCCTTCTGCCTCCCTCTCTGGCCGGGTTTCGCTGGGTCTGACCTGGAAGACGTCTCCTTCTGCTGTTATCCGAGGTGACAACACCGTGAGTGACAGGATTATATCCATACGCTTACAAGGAAGCCCAGTGAATACCATTATCATTCAGATATATGCACCAACAACCAGATCCAAAGAAGAAGATAGATGATTTCTACCAACTTTTACAGTCGGAGATAGATCGAACATGCAATCAAGATGCATTGATAATAATGGGTGACTGGAATGCAAAAGTTGGAAATA